CACCATGTCCTTATTGCAAAAAGACTAATCATCCACAACAAAGATGTTGGTGGAGACCTGATGTAAAATGTGACAATTGTGGAAAATTAGGACACCTAAAACATGTATGCAAATCTCATGAGCAACAAGAAGAAGCCAACATTGTTGAAGATCAACAAGAAGAGGGAGAAGAAGAACTACTTTCAATGTCATGCTTTATGACCAAAAAACCCTCAAAAGCTTGGATTATTGATAGTGGTTGTACAAATCATATGACCTATGATCAAGAACTCTTCAAAGAACTCAACAAAACTAATATCTCTAAAGTTCAAATCGGGAATGGAGCACACCTTGCAGTAAAAGGCAAAGGAACACTTGCTACTAAGAGTCATTCAGGTTTTAAATTAATATCTGATGTTTTATACATTCCTGATATTAACCAAAATTTGTTGAGTGTTTCTCAATTATTAGGAAAAGGCTATAAAGTGTTATTTGAAGATAAAAATTGTGTGATTAAAGATTTACACAACAAAGAATTGTTCAATGTTCATATGAAAGGAAAAAGTTTTGCTTTAAATTTGGAGAAGGAGGAGCCAATTATAAATGAAGATACAAGTAAAGAACAAAAAGATGCATGTCTTCAAAAGAAGTTTGATGATCAAGAGGAGAATGAAGATGATGAAAAATCACCTTCAAAAGAGAAGTTCGAGACAAATGTTAAAGTGGTCCCACTCAAGAAGAATTACAACAAAAATCACAAAAAGAAGAAACTAATCAAAAAGAGAAAAGGCAGATTTTGAAACTCAAATTAGATGATAAAGATATTCAGTCAAGGAGGAGTGTTGGGAATATGCTTAAATATCTTTAGAAGATTAAGTTAGTTTTTTATAAGAATATTTTATTTATATTTCAAATATTTAGAGACTCATGAATAAAATTATATTATGCTCCTCTGATAAAAATAACTCTTACAAAATATTCCTTCAAACAAATATCATAAAATAACCCCATCATTATTGACTTTGATATACCTAAAGAAATTAAAATCCTTCTATCCAAACTTTCAAACACTAAAGGATGTGAAAAACAAATTAAAGAGAATGGATAACATATTACCAACAAAAGAGAAAAGGACACCATAAGACTTATATGCAATACACATATCATGATGTTTGTAATCGTCCATGAAAACATTTTCCTAATTTTTTTTGTAAGAAATCTTATATTTAGATTTTTTAAAATATTTTTGGAGCATGTTTTATTATAATAAATTTTTTATTTTATGTTAGTTTACTTAACCAAATACCATATTTTTCCTCTAATACCCCTATTTAGACTATATAGAAGCTTATGGTAATTGTGTTGTGGTGAGAGGTCGGTAGACCATCCTTCCTCTTTTTTAATTATGTGATTATTTTTAGTTGTTCATATTTCTTTCTCAATTTTATTTTTAATTTCATTTATGACAACATGACAAAATTTTCTCCATTTTCCGAGACTACCACTTGCAAGAAAGGATGATACAAAAGTAAAATATATTTCTTAGTAATTAAGTTATCTCTCAACCATCGCACCCTACGTTAATCAAAAAAATTTATTACTTTATAAAAGTATTCGATAAAAAATAAATTCATTTAATATCTTAAAAATATAAAATATATTCAATAATTTTAGTAAAAAAGAAATATGAGAAATAATACGAGGATATTACTAGAGAATTTAGAATTATTCATATATAATATAATTCCTTTAATAAGGTGGAAATTTTTGAACCAGATATTACAATATTTATCAAATATACTAAGCATCATCCAAAGAGTCCTCAAGTTTCACATCATTCATATTTTCTTAATTTCTTTACACACATTATCAAACAGACTTTCATCTCTCTATGTCATACATAATTTGACATAATACAAGCAATACGGATCATACAGAAAAAAAATAACGTGATGAATCAAACATTATTCGCCTAGATATCACACCAAACCTCAACGTACAACGTAGTAGCTTTTAGCCTGAAAGCAAACATTCATTCAATTCAGATACTTTGTTTGTGAAGGAACTCAATGATGAGCTGGTTCACCTTCTCTGGCATTTGTTCATGCACAAAATGGCTTCCTTCTGGAATATGTACGATTTCCAAGCCAGGCACAAAATTTTTCACTGCCCCACTTCGAATATAGTCCTCCATGCCTGGAAACTTGTACACATAATCTTTCTCACCCATTATCAGAAGTGCTGGAATAGTAACTTTTACATCACTTAAGCCAGCATCCACATTCATGCACCTGCATGCATCATAAACAGTCCAAATGTAATATTAAAGATCATCTCATCTGTCCCCTGAACACTACTTATAACATTAATGTATAACAATTATCAATCAATTTGTTTAGTCTTTGCCGTTAATTAGCCCTTAATTCTAACAATTATCAACCAATTTAATGTAACTTTAATGTATAAGTAAACTTGGTAGTTGGTACCTAACATTGTGGACTAAATTGATTGATTTGATATATTATGGACCAAACCAACCGATGGTGTTAATGTCAAGGACTATGTTGGTACCTTATTGTAATATTAGGATCTAGGAATCAAATTAACTGGAAGGCTAAACTGATGTCAAAGTCTAGAAACAATTTAAGTTAAGGAAAACAAAAACATTTGGATTTTGAGATATAAAAGGGGGGAAATGACAATCTGTTATGTTTACCTGTAAGGAACCTGCAATGCATAACTGAATCCAGATTTTTCATACAATGATGCATAGGTTTCAAGGTCTTCCTCGGAGAACCATGGAGGCAAGGGAGTAGAAGGGTCAAACAAGTCCATGATTTCTTTATCATCAGGTGCTATTGGCAGCTCACTTTTAGAGAAGAGAGTGTATATGTTTCTTATCACTGATTTCACAGGGAAACGGCCAAAATCTGCTTCTGCCCTCCCAGGCTCCTGAAAAATTTAATTAGTTAATAATCACTACTAAAACATTCCAATGAACATAAAAAATTATGGTGGTAGATGGAATTTATACCCGCCACCTATTAATATAAAAGCCTTTGGGGAGCAGAAGGTGGCCTTCTACTGCAAGGGGACCCGGAAGCATGAAAGGAATGCCTAAAGTTATGATAGCAGCTACTCTTTCTTGGTGCATTGCAGTTGTAAGGTGTCCTGGGAAGGCACCAAAATCCTTTCCAACAAGGACAGCCTGAAATAAACAATCCAAATTGCATATGCAGTTAGGGAGGGATATTAAACCCAAACTTAATTGGTATCTATAATAATTATTCATAATGACTAAGGTATCTCCTTGTCAAATGAATCTTGGTCTATTTTTATGTATAAAATTTGCAAGAATGCAGAAACTTTAACATCAACCTTAACTCTTTTGACTGGTAGAGACAATATGTATCCTCGATAAGAGGTAATCTGGCTTGAATCGAATAAGATTATTATGGGCATTGTTCTTATCAGAATTTGATAAGATCAGATATTAAACTTCCTGAACTCTTTACGTAAATGTATGAAATCATGTAGATAGCGGTTATTAAAAGATGGTTACCAAAATACAAGGTACTTTTATATATATTAGACTAAGATATTCGCGGATTAAGTTGATTTTCAGAGTCTCTTTTATAGGTACTAGACTTTGCTTAGAGAGCATCAGAGTGGATGGATTACCGCTCATATTCAAAGCTTGTCAATGAAGACCTTGGTAGGAAGCAGATTATCCTCTCCCTTTGCCAATAACTTAGAAGAAGTGGAGATTGAAGATAAGATGAGATGTAAAACCCATACATAAAGAGATCAGGAAGTTTGGTATTCAATCTTATCAAATTCTAGTAAGAACATTTTGTAGGTGAAGAAATAAAAAATTTTGGTATCTAATCTTGTCAAGTTTTGGTAATGACAGGCATTAAAATTATTTTTCTAAGTATTTAACACAATTGATACTTAATCTAAGATTAATGACTAACTCTACACCAATTGATCCATCCACTCAATGCTTATCCAGCCTTATTCATACTTGCATAATATATTTTAAAACTCGAATTTAAATGTTTGTAAATAATTTATAATTATGATAAAGAATTCTAATTATAATGCCTTCTAATTAAGAATTAATATTTTCTTCAATTAAGTTACATGTTAGAGCTTGGGGCTGCATATTGAAGATCTGAAACGAAGAGGCTTCATTCTAGAATTGATCTACATATAATTCTGCATCATAGGAAACTCACACGTTGACAAATTCATGAGAAATGTAGCATAACATATATATATCTAGCTCCTTCCTTACCTTGCTGATGTTTAAAGCATCCAAAAGACCCACAATTTCATTAACCAGGTCAATCAATGTTTCCTTTTCTGGGTGAAGTGGATGCTGAGAGAGTCCATAGCCTCTGAAATCAAAGGCAATAGCCCTATAACCAGCGTTTGCCACAGCAATCATTTGGTGCCTCCATGTGTACCAGATCTCTGGGAAACCATGCAAAAATACCACTGCCTTGGAGCCTGCATAAACAAATTGATCATTAATATAAAGTAAATGCATATGAAACATTGTTATTTGTTGACTGTATTTCAATAGGGTCTTCAAGGAATATGAAATTACCAATTCCAATCTCTGCCACGTGCAACTTCAGTCCCTTCACTTCCACGTGACTGTGTTGAATCTTCTCCATCATAGGAGGGGTTTAATTTATCACAGAACACAGAGTATTAAGTAAAGAGTGTATGAGAAATAAAATGGAAGGGTGAGAAAGAAAGGAAGACAAGACTAGCCAATATATAGGTCATGTGACCATAGGGTGTGTTTGGAAACAGCACGTTCAACTGAAACTGAATTAAAATAGCTTACAATCTTGTTACTTTTTGGATTGGTGTCATGAAAAATTCAAAAAGGGTTGTTTGGTGTGGTTGAGTCGGTACTTCTACTTCTTACACACTTATGTTATTAGAAAATTATCAATGTCCATCACAAATTGGGTAGAGGAAAGAGAATATGAGAAGGAAAAAATAATAAATGAAGTAAAAATGATATAGAAGTTGTATGATTATACCTATTTAATATTATTTAAAAATAATATTGTAAGTTAATCATTAATTTAATATTATAAAATAATTTTTTTATAATAAATTTTCTTTAAAAAATATAATCTCATTTAAACTTAGAGCTAAATATTAACCTCTGAAGATTTTTATTAAGATAATGAATCTTATTTTATACTCTAATATATTAAAATTTATTAGCTTTACATTGCTACGAGTAAAACTAAGCTCGTATTTTTCAGAAACTTAAATTGTATTGCACTAATTATTAACAAGGTGTTAACAAAAGCGTCTATTAAAATAATGATAAAAGCTTAAGTATTAATTGGAATAGAATAAGAATTAGGAGTGTTTATTTAAATAAAAAAAATGTTTTTTTTTAATTTTTATAAAAAAAAATTTGGGCGGGGGGGAAGGAATGTAAAAATAATAAATTTGAAATATTTTATATTAATAATTTTTTAAAAACATTTAATAAAGTTATTTTTCTTAATTTAATAAATAATCAATGAAGTAAGTATTTCATTCATATTAATAGTTTTTAATAAATTAAGATAAATTTAATAGAAATAAATATGTTTTTAATATATCAAATTTTAAGTAAATTTATTTTTCTCCCTTGAAATTTAAAATTATTAATTTTACTTTTTATAATTTTTAAAAATCTTATTTTAAGTTCTTAGACCACTAATAATATATTTAAAAATGATAGATTGAGATAGTAATATTTTCATAAATTATAGATAAATTTTATGTAATAGTATTTGACAAATTTTTTAACATAATTTGATTATAAAAATTAAAATAATTTTTTTAAAATTGCAGGATTAAAAATATTAATTTTAAATTTAGGAAAAAAAATAAAATTATTTTAAATTTAAAAAAAAATATTTTAAAGCCAATTTAATAATATCAATTATCAACCAATTTAATAACTTCTTCGAATTCTTCAACCTTAATGATGAATTGGGTCGGAGCTTATTAAAAAGTTTATGCGGCAATTACAATGTAAGAACATGTAGTGTTTAATGCACTTCTGATGCAATAATATGTCAAGTTTGCTGCACTCAGTTGAATCGCAACTTGGTAATTCACGTATTATGTAATCATGCATATATAGTGGAGTTTGGGTGCTAGAAAAAATAAATAAGGGTAAAAAAGGTAACTAAAGTTCCTTTTTTTATTATTCAATGCATTGTTAGATCCATGATGTTTAAGAATTTTAATCAGGTCTTTGAATAATATCATTATAAATATAATATAATATAATATTATACAAACTGTTTTCTATTAAAAAAATTATTATTAATATATAATTGTTCTAAAAATTCATACATTTTAAAGAAATAAATAATAGATTGGAATCTAAAACATGATTCAAACTCGTCCTAAAAATATATATCAAATCTAATTTTAAGACCTATAATGAACTAAATGGGATTTGTAGACGAATTAGGTCATGTATCACTCCTACTTTTATCTATCAAACTTTGTAAATATTTAAATGTTTTATTCATTAAATAAATAAATAATTTATCTGTTATAATTTTTACAAGTACTATAAGATATAATAATTTTTCTTAGCACTTAAGGAAGAATAATGTGATTTGATATTTGTATTTTTTAACGAAAGATCATGACTTAATTCTTAATTTGAACATAGAATATAACGGGATCTAGGTAATACTTCACCTTATTATATCTTGTTATATTAATTATAAAATTAAAATTAAAATTAAAATTAAAAAAAAATAAAAACTACACCCACCTAAATTATATTACACATTACCGTACGTTCCCGCAAGTAATGCGTGTATTTCTTCATATTATTTGTGTTGTACTAGTTTTGCCGGTTCTACTTTTATTAATTTTAATGAAGACAGTATCATTTCTTCATATTGTGGTTGGCCGGTTGAACACGAAGGAGGAAGAAGAAGAACCATTGTCCTTTGTGTTCAGAGTGTTAATGCCTACTGCTACAGCCCATAATATTAGTTACATGTAAGATTTTATTTTAATGCATTGATAATATTAAAAAATTAAAATAAGAAATAAAAGTTTTATATTTATTAATTGTTAGGAAAAAAAAATCCTTCTCTTTTATTTACAAAACTGATGAGAAACACACTAAAAGTAATACTATAAAGAGGGGGAAAAAATCTTACTAATTTATTTAATATGGTTTGACATCTCATGTCTACATACATTAAGATATTGATTATTTTACAAGTAAACACATAAATTTGAAACTCCTCCCTTTAAGTTTTGGAGATGAAATTTAAAAAAAAAATTCACAAGTTTTTGGATAAAATTTGAATAACTTTTCTTACAAGTTCTGTAGATAAAACTTAAAACCTTTCTCACAAAATTGAATAAATGTTGAACATAAGATAAACATGAAAATGAAGAAAAAAAATGAATAAAAATATTAGAATAAAGAAAATTGAGAGAATATGTAAGAAGAAAATTAAGAAAGGAAAAAAAATGTATCTAAAAAAGCTTCTTTAAAAAACTTGTTGTAAGAATGTGGGAGAAAAATAATGAAATATCTATGAATTAAAAAATATGATATACTTTGAGAATGATGACACTTTATAGAAAACAAAGAATATCTCACCCTTTGAGTTGCCTCCAACGTAACGAGGAGATTAGTTACTGTTGTCGGCGGTGGATACTCTAGGGACGGACAAAAAAAAATAGAAAACAAAGAATAAAATTTAAATTTTAGAATATAAATTTAGTTATAAAATAAAAATAATAATAAAATATCTGTTATATGACATTTAAAGTTATAACATAAAACTTAAGAAATACAATTAATACATCTTATTTTATAACTTTTTATATAACTTTTTGATATACTCTTCAACCTTTTTGAATTTTCACAATAAAATAAGTATTCAAAAAGAAAAAATATTAAATAAAAATATATTAATTAATAGATTAAAAATATAATAAAAAAATATATATTAATATTACGTTGATATTAAACAGACAATAATTAACCAATTAACGTCAAACAAAATAGGACATAAGGAGTCACCTCTTATTTACATTTTTTTCTATCTATAAAGTTGCACTGAAATCGACAGCACTTGTTATAGTAAATAGAAGATATGTAAACCTATTGTTTGAATAACAGACGTGTAATGTTTAATTTAACTTTTTTCCTTTGCACCATTAACAATGATTTTATTTATCAATTTTGTTTGTATGGAAACATCTCCTACTTTTTTCGTCAAGTTTTATTTATATCTCTTAAACCTTACATTACTGGTGGAAATTAAAAAAAAAAAAAATCTTCTGTCACTGTTGAAATGTCACTGCAGTGGCTTCACACAATTAATGTGATTTCCTGCTATCATAAACTGGTAGATCATACTTACGTACCAACTATCAACTACTTTCTCATACAAGATCCTCTCCAATTTTTCAAAACTCAATGCAATAATCTTCCTTTATTACTTATTTTAATATTTATTAATTTTAACATATAAGAAAATAATGAATGATAGAATTTATTCAATATGGATCTTTTAATTATTTCTGGCAAGGCTCAGCAAAATGCCATGCCACAACACTGATTGTAAATGCTCCCTTCTGTTTAATGGTTATTTTTCCATTATGAAATTCGTTAATTACATCACTGGAGATCATAGGACTTACCTGTGCTTTTGTCCGATTGCAGAGAACTAGAATTATATATCCTCAATAATAACTAAACCATATACGTAACATATTCCCACAATTAATTTGTAACAACCCCACTATGTTTTTTTTGTAATGAGTAATGACCATGTATATATGTATTAATTAATTTTATTATTATTTTCTATATATTTATTCTTCTAATTGGGATAATAATATTATTTCAAGAAATTAAAGATAACCTGTACATATCACCATTTGCTGCAAATGTTATACTCATGACATGGATTCTATATATACTTCATCAACCATATGTGAATATATTTTCATTAAGTAAAATTTTCATCTTTATATACCTATGCTATAAATATATACAGTTAAAATTTAGAATAAATAGTTTATGTATTAATAATTAAAAAATGTATATTGACATTCAATTTACAAATCGACATATATAGCAAGTGTGTTGATAATTTTTTAAAATTATTTTTAAAGTCATGACTATCATGATTTTTAATTAATTGGCATGTGATAACAAAAAAAAAATTAATTGGCATGTAAAACATTTTATACTAATACATAATGTATCGAAATTAAACTCTAATTTTTTTTTTTACACCAACTCTAATTTAATACTTATATGACTAAAATATTTATTTTATAATTTAATAATAATATTTCTTATAACTTTTTAAAACATGTATTATGTTATATTCATCTTATATTTTATCATTCTATAATAAGTATCATCCTAATGTTTTACATATATTAAGAAAAACTAATAAATGAAAGAAAGGAAATAATAATTTTACAAAATTAACCTTATAATTGATCTTCCTTTTTAGAAACAATATAACAAAATAATGACTTTCTAAAGTATATTATGAAAAATATAAATAAAAAAATATGTAATTAATACTACATTGAAAATCTTACATGACATTTATTTTGAGAATTATTTTTTCTTCCAATGCAACAATTATTATGGAACAAAGGGAGTCATACTTTGATATATTTTTATTTAAAAATTTCATATCATGTGATGTATATTTTTTATAAAAAAAAAAAAAAAAATCACTGTGACTGAAATAAAAATTGTTATTTTAACTAAATGTAACCCCTTAAGTTATATTATAATGAAAAAATAAATAAAAAGACTAATTTGACTCTAAATTTTCTTCCTTAATTTACTTCTTGGCAAACCAAATTCTTTTCCAAACCATTACATTGTACCACTAAATAAACACACTCGAACATGAGTATCCACCTTAGAAAATTCCAGTTGCAATAGGCACAACATTACTCTATGCTTTCTCCTTTGATATTTTAAGAAATTTGGCATGTCCAACAGGACCACAAATCAGATTCAGCAACAAGACAACAACTGAAGAATAAAACAAAACTCCAACTATATGACAGCTTTGTAAGACCATCCAAGCAATTGAAGTCATCAATTATTCTTTTCATATCCGTCACAGGAGCAACCCAACACAGAAGTTTCATCTGTGCCTGTAAAAAGTCTCTCGAGTATACATGTGGTAATATAAAATAGTGATAATGTCACCACAAATTTTGGATCTGATGTCATTGGATATGTTTTGACTGAATAATTTGATAGTAACTTTCAAATTTACAAGATTATTTGATAAAAGAACGACAAGATCATGGTGCCAATCACATTATGAAACTGAAGCATATATATGCTTTGTTATCTCAAGATGATCACAAATTCACAATTCAGATATTGGAGTTGAATAGAATACAATCTATTAAAGAATTTCCATCTTAATTACATCCTTCATGGATACATTGTAATATAATTTGTCTTGGGACATCCCAAAGAACCATATGGAGACCTGATCTCTCCACCAAAAATCTTCTTCCATATACAATGTTATAATTGACTTCAATGTAAACAAAAGAAATAAAATAATTGTATAACTAGGAAAAGTTTGCGTATACAATAAGAACGAATTTTGTTTTCTTGTTTCCTTGTGTCACCTACTCACATTATATCTCAAATTTTCTGGTCGCAGATGATCATATATTCATGTCAGTAATGTCCTCCCAGAATCGCGAGTAGCACGCCATGCATAGAGCCTTAGACATAACATGTGAAAGATATGTAACCATGGAATGGAATAACAAATCCATTAGAGTCACATAAAGGCACAGGCTAATCAACTTAATTTGTTAAACCAGTTTTGTTCTGCACAAGTTGTTCAACATCTCCTAGCTCCATTTCCTTCCCTTGTCTCTCATACATATTCTGAAACATCATCTCTATCTGCTCCAAGGACTTCCCTTTGGTTTCAGGAACTAGTGTGAAGACAAAGGCAATGGCAAGAGCAGAAATAGCAGCAAACAGAAAGAATGTTCCAGCGAAACTAATTGCCTCTGACACAGAAAGAAAAGACATGGCTACAAGGCCGCTGCAGACCCTGTTAGCCACAGCTCCAAGTGCCGATGCTTGAGCACGCACGCGCAAAGGGAAGATTTCAGATGTCAAAACCCAGCACACAGGGCCTAGTCCAACAGAAAAGAATGCCACATTCCCACAAACAAACAGAATAGACAATGCAATCACAAATGACCCTTGTCCAAACAAAGAGAGTGTAGCCCCCATGCAGAACAAACAAACTGTCATCCCAATTGTGCTTATCAGGAGGAGAGGCTTCCTGCCTAGTTTGTCAATGAGAATGATTGCTACCAAAATAAAAATTGTCTTTGTCACGCCTACAGCAACAGTAGCAGCTAGAAGTTTTGTTTTGTCCTCAATACCAGCTGCTTGGAAAATCTCAGGACTGTAATACACAGTTGCATCAATTCCTGAGATCTGTTGGAAACACTGAATTCCAAGTCCAGTAATCAGCATGCGGCGAAGGGGAGGAGGAGGGAATAGCAGTTCACGCCACACTGGCGTCTCCTCATACTTCTCAGAATTGGCGAATCCGGCAGCTTGTTGTATCTCTGCAAGCCTCTCCTCCACTTCTTTCTCGTCTTCATTTGTTTTCAACAGCACTGATCTTGCTTCATCAACTCGGTTCTGCATTACCAACCACCTTGGTGACTCTGGTATAACAAAAAGCGCAAAGCCAATGAAGATTGAGGGCAAAATTCCCACTGCAAGCATTACTCTCCAACTTGTGTGCACAGAAAGGCCAGAAAACGCGTAATTGGATACATAACCAAACATAATTCCTACATTTATAAAAATCTCAGGGAATGTAGTAAGAGAGCCTCTATTCAGGTTTGGTGATATCTCAGCAATGTATATAGGAGAGATCATAACTCCAAATCCTATTCCAATCCCAGCTAGGAATCTTCCAACCATTAGTACCGCATATGAAGGGGCAAGAGTCATTGTGAGTCCACCCATTTGGAAGACAACTGCAGCTAATGCCATTGTCCATTTTCTACCAATAATATCAGATGTTCTTCCACCACCAAGGCTACCAAACAGAGAAATAATGCTAAGAATACCAACCAAAAACTCCACCTGAACCTCGGTTATCTTCAGATCTTCTTTGATAAATATAACAGCTCCACTCATCACACCTACATCTGCAAAATCCACAAAATAAATCATGTCAACTTTGACTCCTTCAAAACAACCCGGAATTGGAAATCAAGATCAAAATAATCTCCACCATAAAATCCGCATAGATAAAGAGGAAATAGAGCATACACCACAATGTAAAATGTTTTTATACTATCATCTGATCACAACTTGTCAAATTGATGCTCTAAAAAGTCATGCTAACGATGATTTCTGATTCATTGAGAAAGTAATTAAACTCAGAGATAAATTTACAGTTGACTTCTCTTAGTTTGCCGACCCTGAACCAAAAGTTTGGTAGATCTGTTTCATGGATACTGCTATACTAGAAATGCAAAGAAAAAATCACACATGGAACATGATCTAGATGGGGCACATAACAAAGGACAAAGAATTGTCAAAAACCATCACCGACACAATCTAAATAGAACAGTCAATGGAAAATGCAGCGACGAAATCAAAGAGGGAACAGAAGAAGTTTTCCACAAAAGTGATAAAATCAATGAGTTTCGAAACATACCATAGCCAAGAAGAACATTATTGAGGGAAGCAAAAATGGCACATGCAAGAACATATTTCCTGGCACTACTCCTCCTTTCTTCTTGTTGCTGCTGTTGCAAAACATCATCGTTATCCTCTGGAAGCTCGGAGTTCATCCTCTTGTACTTGTTCTTGGCTCCCAAGGGAATTCCAGCCAACCCCATTTCCCCATTCCCGTTTTCTTGGAACCCCATCTCTCTGCTTCGGCTTCCAATTGTGCTCTTCGATGTTCAAACTTGAGAGGTGTCTCAAGTCGCTAGCTTGAGTTGGAGGGGTGGTGTGTTTGTTTGTTTGGTTAAGGTTGGACTATCATATGACATATCCAAGACTCACCAAAGTTGTGACCATAGATTTGGCCTTTGGATCTGAAACTGAAACTGAAACTGAAAGAATAAAAGAATGACCTCCCGAAATTAAAGGACTAGACTAGGCAACAAGAGGGACCAACCCTTTTTGTCACGCAAGCAAATTAAAAGCTCAAGCAACCCAATTTCTTCAATATTTCATGCATCACAACGTTTCAGGATTTGACCCTCCACTTTATCAAGCTTAAATGCCGCTTTCCCCCCAACAAATATGCTTGTATTGGTGTTTATTTAAATAAATTATGCTTTTAATCTTTTATATATGCAAAACATTTGTAATAAAAAAATATAAATAAATAAAAAAAGAGAGAGAGAAAATTAAGGTTCACAATTGGGGGCTACAATGGCAAATTGAAGTATTTCGTGATAATCACCTAATCGAAAAGGAAATCACCTTAATTTAGAAGAACGCTAACGTGGTTAAAATTAAAAATAAGGCATTGTTTTCAAGAAGAAGTGCGATGGTGAAAGGTTGAGTAATTTATTTTGTTTTTGTTTTACTAATTGCGGATTTTAGCTGCTTTGAACAATTCTAACAAATTCAAGAGGAAAAAACATCGTTAACTTGGAGATCATTTTTTCTTTTTTATTCTAGATGCGTTTCTTGGCTTCTCAGTCCAGATGAACCATAGTTGACTTTTTGCTTTGAATAATATATCATTGTGAAGATAATTTCTAAATTGTGACTTGTTATCGCTCATGACCTATTTAATGGACGGCTTAGGTTAAAATTTAATGAGAGACCAAACATTCTTAATTATTTGGACAACTTTTTTTTTTTTTTTTTTTTGCTTTAATCACTGTAAATTTGTGCGAAATCATTTATTTTTAAAATCTGAATTAATTTAAGATGGTTGGTGACTACTGACCAATAGTAAAAGGATTCAGCAATCTGAAAATATAAAATTAGCATAAACAATGTCTCGATGACTTTCCTCGGCAACTTAATTTATATACATTGCTTATTTATTTCCATCTCTCATTCATAAAAATTTAATAATTAAAATATTATATAAAATAAAAGCTAAAGATATATAATTAAAATTGCAGGAATTAAAATCGTACAAAAATTGAAATGAACAAATGTTATTAAGCTTTAAAAGAAAATATTGAGTTGTCGGCGAAGTGTAATCTAATGGAATCTTTCTTTTTTGTGAAAATGGTGATTCATTCCTTCGAATCAACTTGGCACCGACAATATTATTGTCCTGTAGCTGGGCCTTTATATTGCTGTAAACTGCCAGCTAATTTGTTTCATTTTTAATGACAAAAACAAAAAAAAATAATCGAAGGTTGACAACGATCAAAATTCATCCATTGAAAATAAAAAAATATTAAATTATTTAATCAGCCTTATAAAACCTTTAATACAAAAATAAAATATGCTTAATGTAAAAAAGTATATATTTTACGTATTTTTAATCAATATATTAATGTGGAATTAACTTTAATGGGGTTTGCTGATTGAAGAATGTTTCCATTTTTACGTGCAATAAAATTATTAAAAAAAAATTAAAATAGTTTCTCTTGCATTTGGCTCCAAAAATATTTTATGCATCGGAATTTAGCTTATTTTATGTCCAAGTTTGATTAATAAATAGTTAATTTAAGAGACGAACAAATGTTATTGAAGTTGGTACACACATGACGTGGCTTTGGATCTAATTAAAGAACACATGTAGTAGTGTTTTCGTAAAATTGGTTAAATTATATTTTTTCTCTCTTATATTTATTAATTTAATAATCTTGGTACTTCTATTTTAAAAAAGATACATTTAGTTTTATAATTCTAAAAAATATAATTTTTTTTATCAAATTAACATCATCTAATTATTAAATCTTAATATTTATTCATATTTAAGTGATGTGTCATTTAATAATATGATATTTGAAAGTAAAAATAACCATAAAAAATGTAAATAAAATTTATTGATAAAATAAAATATCAATCACTCATGAAAATATATACACAAAAAGATACTTTTGTATAATATTTTTTAAAATTTGTATATCTATATGTTATGTCATTAAATATCCTCCCATTTAAATATCGATAAAAAATAACATTAAAATTTAACGATTAACAAATATCAAATTGATAGTAGAACCAAAATTATATATCTTTAAAAATAGAAGAATTAAATGTTTTTATTTTAAAATAGATGTAACATTGGGAGTTAGATATCCTTTTGGGGTGTTGCTAGTGGAAAAAATCCAAGTTAAGATTTTGAGTCTTCTTCTTCCTTGCTTGGGTCCACAAGATATATAGAAGGAGTCCTTGTTGTTGGAAGATCTTTAAAGTGTTCTTGAGACTTGGGAAGCTCATATCAGTGGTGTGTGTTGAGCTTGTTTGGGTGGAGAGCTTTGAAGCCCAAAATCTCCTTTCTTCCTCTTCTTCCTTTTCTTTGGTTTTGAAAGTTCACAATTAAGGTAAGAGAAGGTAGAACCTATTGTTAGTAGATTTTAGTGTTGCATGCATTGATATTTTTATTGAATGCTAGTTGGTATGATTAAACTGGATTAAGTGTTGAAATTTTTGAAGGACCTATAATTCTTGATGTTCTTAGTGAAGGATGGAGGAAACCTTTGATCTGTTTGCAATTGAGTGATTGCATGTGGCTTTTTGTGCTATTTTTTAATTGTATGATGATAGAAGATGTTAAATTCAAAGTTGCATGTCTAAGAAATTGGTAGTAGATCAGAGGATTTAGAGTTGTATTTCGTTCTTGAAGTTGTTGTGTTCGTTCATGAATATGCAAGTTTCTGGGTTTGCTTGCTTAGAGCACCCATAGGGGTCGCTCTAAGTGAGCGGATGTAATCAGGTTAGAGATAGTTTTTGAGTTAGCTCGCTTGAAGTGAATTGTGATCGCTCAAAGCAAGTTTTGGTGGCTCAGAGTTAGTAGAGGTGGAAGTTCAAGGGTAGTCCCTAACTTTGCTCACTTAACATGAATTAAGAGATGCTTTGAGCGAATTCGATTACTCAAAGTAAAGGTGATGTTGCTTGAAGTGATTGAAGTGAGACTCGAAGGGTTGCTCTCTATTTGGGTTCGTTCCAAGTGAAGTTCTTAGCACTCAGAGTGAAATTGTGTTACTCAAAGGGAGAATCTTGGATGTTTGAAACGTCGAGTTCCTTCCTTGTCATAGCAGTTGGATATTTGTATAAAGTAATAATAGAGGTTAATTTAATACCTTGTATGCTGATTATACATTGATATGCAATGATGGATGATAATTTAATTGTTGATGATTAAATGTGTATGACGAACATAAATAGAATGCTTAAGTCTATTACATGTTGTGTGATGTTAGAAGTTGAATAAGCATTGGTATGCTATTTTTGAATAAGTTGATTAGCATTGTATGCTATGTATGATGGTGTAACTTGATCTCTATATGCATTAACCTAAGATAAATGATGTATGTTGGGGTGTTGATGTTGAGAATGTTGTAGGCATTAAAGCATGTTAATTGACTTACTAGAGGAGAAGTGTTGTTTAGGAAGTCAAAGATCCCATCTGGAAAATTTTTGTTTTGGGCACTTTGGGAGGCTAATTGTTGAAAACCCTCCTTGAGTAGGTTTGAAACTCTTAGAATAGATTTTTTTGAGTCTTCACTAAGTCTTTGGTTAATGTAGAGTAAAATATGAAGTCAAAGGCTATAGTCATTAATATATATATA